TCCAACCCAAACCAGTCTGTGATTCTATAAAGCTGAGCCCTACAAACACAGTGAAACCCAGCAACACCCAGTATCACATTCTCAGCACTCTGTAGAAACTCTTTTTTTTTGAAGCTCAAATAGATGGAGCTTGTTTTGTAGAAAGAATTTGGAACAAAATATAGTGTGCCTTTCCTTTTTGTCCCCTCAACCCTCAGCTAGTAAATCTTGATCTAAGATAATGAAAAGTATATAGTTAGAAAATTAGCTAAAAAGCTATTCTTTTGGGATACCAATAGATAGGTTTTGACACTTTGTTTGTGACCTAGTTTCTTAATGCAGCATGACTTCTGAGATTCTGCCATCTGTGCATGTGCACCTGACAAGTCTCAGAGAGGGTAAAACAATCCCTCAAAGAGATTGCAGCTTTTAATAGTTCTACCCAAAATATTGCCTCGGGCTTGCATGTATCCTCCATTGCTTCATCAGCAAAGGAGAAACATGGTTTTCTTTTAGAGGTGATCAATAGGTGTGCAGCTCTAGACTGCTCCCTCTCGAAGTTGCAGATGGGTGGAAAGCACGTGGTTGAAAAGTTGAGGATACTGTAATGGAAAGTACTGGCGATGTGGTGGGGAGATGAGGCTGTTAAAGATGGAAAAAAAAATAGGCTGGGAAATTTCAAGAGGGCAGCAGCGCGGGCAGCCAAGAAGGCTGGTAGCATCCTGGCTTGTCTCAGAATTAGTACGTCCTGCAGGACTAGCCAAGAGATTGTCTCCCTGTACTTGGCACTGGTGAGGCCGCACCTCAGATACTGTGGTCACTTTTGGGTCCCTCACTACAACAAAGACTTTGATGTGCGGGAACATGTCCAAAGGAGGGCAATGAAGCTGGTGAAGAGTCTAGATAACAAGTTCTCTGAGGAGTGACTGAGGGAATTGGGGTTGTTTAGTCCAGAGAAAAGGAGGCTGAGGGGAGACCTTATCACTCGCTACAGCTACCTGAAAGGAGGTTGTAGCAAGGTGAGGATCAGTCTCTTCTCCCAGGTAACAAGCGACAGGACAAGAGGAAATGGCCTCAAGTTGTCCCAGAGGAGGTTTAGATTGGATATGAGGAATTAATTCTTTACCAAAAGGGTAGTCAAGCGTTGAAAGGGGCTGTCCAGGAAAGTGGTGGCATCACCATCCCTGGACATATTTAAAAGACATGTAGACATGGCACTTAGGGACATGGTTTAGACATGGTGGTATTGGGTTGACAGTTGCACCTGATTATCTTAGAGGTCTTCTCCAGCCTTAATGATTCTAAGATTCTGTGATTCTTTATGGGTATCTATAAAGGGAGTGGTGTGGTTTACACATAGACAATGGAGAGGTTCTTGATACAGGCAGTGGAGATAAAAATGTAGTTCATCTGACCAAACTGAATCTCCAGTGACTGTAATGCAGCCCACTCAACTAGTTTAAATGAATCAGCAGCAGCTGTAGGCTGGGCAGAAAGCCATAGGATGTCTCTTGTGTCACTAAGTTGCTGTGTCGAGGCAGCTGAAACAAACCTTAGTCAAACTGCATACTGGGGTACTGTGTCCAGTTCTAGGGCTGCCAACATCAGAAGGACATGGAGCTGTTAGAACAAGTCCAGAGGAGGCCACCAGGATGATGCGAGGGCTGGAGCAGCTCTGCTGTGAGGACAGGCTGAGAGAGTTGGGGCTGTTCAGCCTGGAGAAGAGAAGGCTCCCGGGAGACGTTCTAGTGGCCTCCCAGTACCTGAAGGGGCTCCAGGAAGGGTGGGGAGGGACTTTGGCCAAGGGCAGGGAGTGACAGGACGAGGGGTGATGGCTTGAAACTGGAAGAGGGGGGATTGGGGTGAGATGAGATGTGAGGAAGAAATTCTTTGGTGTGAGGGTGGGGAGACACTGGCCCAGGTTGCCCAGAGAAGCTGTGGCTGCTCCTCCCTGGAAGTGTTGAAGGCCAGGCTGGATGAGGCTTTGAGCAACCTGGTCTAGTGGAAGGTGTCCCTGCTGCTGGCAGGGGGGTTGGAACTGGATGATCTTTAAGGTCCCTTCCAACCCAAACCAGTCTGTGATTCTATGGAACTGAATTCCTCCCCAGGACAGCTCTCACAGAATGACTCATTCAGAAATGGTTAGGCAATAATTAATCCTTACCTCTATTTCTAAGTGAACACAGGTTGCAAGACCCTCTCTGGCAATTGATTCTACAGTGTCTCTTCCAAGTCCATAGTGATAGCCACTGTATTTATAGGTTGCTATAAACTTCCCCTGAAATTCAAAACAGCAAGTGTAATGACAAAGGAAATATTTTCAGGGAAACAACTTAAAGAATGTAATCACTCTGGACTTTCTTGCTCTCTCTCCCTACAAAGTTTCTCCCTGCCTAAATCATCAAGGATAATGAGGCCAATGGGAGCACAAAATTTGCAGAGAAAGGCACATAGTCAGTCCTGCAGGGTATGGGCTTGTACATTGTTCATGGATAATAAAACATCAGTGTCTTGAAAACAAAACTGCTGACAGGTTACAGCTTTCATTGCTTATTCATTTACACTGTAAAGAAAACAAGATCTAAAGCAAGGGGCATCCTTCTTTTGACATTACAACAAACCATATGGCCGTGCCATATAAAATAGAAGATGCCAAAGAAAAGAGTGGAGAGAAACAAATCTGCAAGGAGAATGTATAATTGGCCAAGAAATTTCAAAGATAAAACCTGACAACTGAAACTTTGGTTCCTAGAATCGTGTCTACAGAGATGGAAGCAGATTATATTATTTAAAAATTAAACTACTTGATTACTGAGAGTTATTTTTAAGGACCAGATCGGTTGCTTAAGACTGTGTTGGCTCCCCCATTTGTATATGTACAAATAATGGGCTCTGTTGTGGCTTTTCAAGCCAAAGTTTTATTGCAGGCAGCAAAAGGCATCAGAAACAGTAGCTGGAGGCATGTTGCCTTCAGAGGGAAACACAATGCCTTTAGGGTGAATTTGTTAAACTTTAAAAGACTGCATTCCCTGCAGGGTTGCTGGAAGATTTCAGTAGAGAGAAAAAAAAAAAAGAAGAAAAAAAAAAAAGAAAAGGCAGCTATTTCAGGAGATTTTCTTTCCTGCACACACACTAGATATTTGCATATGGAAATAAATTTATTTCTACATTATATTACTGTTTAAAGATTCCTACTGGCCATTATGCCCCTTTAATGGTTTCTATACATGCAATACAGAAGAAAAGACAAACATAAATATACACAGAATTTGTGGTTTCTGTCTATGAACTTAAGCCACGTAACTGTGAGTGAATAAGCATCCACACACTGACACAAACTCAATAAATAAATAAATAAAACCCAAAACAACCCAGACCTGGACAGAAAAGTTGAGTTCATTCTGGGTGTAGGAAATAGGTCTACTAAGATACTAGTCAGGTACTTACTGTTTTCACCATTTTGTCAAATGCTTCTTGAGAAACGAAATAGTAATCAAGTCTGTTTTCTTCACCAAAGTAAGCTGCCCTGGTAGTGTGACAGGGACTGGAAGATATATGGTATAATAAAGAAATAATCTGTTTTCAATCATGGAAGGAGCTATGGAATAGGAGGGTGGTTAGGGGGGTGGGGAGGGAGAATACAACAAATCATTTTATTTTTAAGAAGAGAAGAAATATGAGAAATATAAAGAGGTGCAAATCATACCACTAATGCCGCATATTTGAAAGATTAACCCATAAATACAAAAAAAAAAAAGGAAAAAGTTTAAATGTAACATTACATTTTGGCTATAAATTTCCCCCCAACCCAGGATAGCCTGAACTGAAGCTGTCACAGCACCCTGTAATAGAGAAATGATGAAATGATTTTTTTTCCAGTTATGGCAGCTTGTGGATGATATAAAGTAGAATCCTAAATGTGGAAAAGGAGACTAGGAGTTAGGCTGAACTGTGAGGTTAAGAAAGAAAGACCAATCTTTAAATACACCCCTAAATAGTAAGGGGAGAAACAATCCTGAAACTAGGGAGATAAGTGGGATACAAGGCAGGAAAAGTAATTGCTTGCCACCACATAAGGACAAGAGGATAAACCTCAGATACGTGACCTTACTACCAGGATGAAACATTAAAAAACCCCCCAAAGAAAAATCCAAATAAAACCAAAAAACCCCAGGTAAATCAATGCATGTAGCAATTTTAAACTAAAACATGCAGTGGCTTTGTTCTCTCTTAGAAAATTATATTTTGCTACTTGTTTCTGCTTTGGTTTTGTTTTTAATTTGTTTACATTGTAGGATAACAGGAACAAAAGTGTAATGTGGAGCTTTGGCATCGATTCATACCAACAACAGTTTAACTCTTTGAATTCTGTTGCATTGTCCTGGAAAATATGACAAAAAAATGATACCACCTACCAGGCCATTTCTGATCATTTATTTAAGGTAGCTGAGTTATAAACCATTAAGAAGTTCAGTCTATAATGCAGAGCTTGACAAATCTTAACTATCATGGCATTAAGAGGGTGCTACTTTTTTTTATCAGCAAGCTGTGGCAAATGAGAACAGTGTGCTACACATGGACTCTGTAAAATTTCACTTCAAAGGTCTGATTTTCTTTAAGATATTATGAACACATCCAGCTTTAAAGGTCATTCCTGAGCACTAGCCAGATGGTTTGAGGGTCCAATTTCTCTATTTTTTTTTTTTTTTTGAAACACTTTTAAACATTACAACCCTTTTTAATTGCAAGGCCATGTTTACATTCAAACTGCCAGGGTATCTTGCATGAAATACATTTTTAATGAGTGGAATGTTTGAAATTTAAAAGTGTAAGCCATAAAATTGCTTAAATCTCCACTGTATAATTAAAATACAACTTTGCTTTATGGTTGCAATTTTCTGCTCTGTTAAGATTCTGTCTCTCTCCCCCTTTATTTTTTTTCCTCCTCATGAATAAAACTTTTAGGAAATAAAATACACAGTAGAAAAACAATGCTCTTAAAAAAACCACAGAGTGCTCAGAAAATTTCAATTGGCATTTGATTAGTTTGTAATTTCCAATCTAGTCTTTCAAAACATAGTATTTGCTTTAAAGAAAGGCAAAAGTGCATTTTTCCAGTCACATAATCTTTACACATCTTTTCTTAAAAATGTCTTTTCAACTTGCCAGTTTAATGATCTAATCCAGCAAGTGGCTATAATCTGAGCAGACAGAAATACATATAAGGCTCCTTCACAGTGTTATGTTAGAGAAGAAGGTTACTACCAGATATCACATCGACATGCAGAGCATGGTTCTGTGATGCTGAGAACTCTGAGGAATCATTCTCATATATGCACGTGCCCATGGTCCCTTTCTTACAACTTACCTCTCCAGAACTGTGGTGGTTTCACTGGGCTAGCACTGGGCTAGCAGCTGACACGGCCATTCACCCATTTCCCCCCCAACCCCAGGGAATAGGGGAGATGATTGGGGGGAAAGGATAACAAGGCTTGGAGGGTGAGATAAGAACAATTTAATAATAGAAATAATCAAAAAACTTAAAATAATACTAATATTAAAATAGTAATGATAATGATAACAGTAATAAAATATGCCAACGAGTGATACACAGTGCAACTGCTCACCACCCACCGACCAAGCCTGGCCCCATCCCAGAGGAGCCACAATCCTGAACCAAAACCGCAATCCCAGGAAAACAAGAGCCCAAGCGACAGCAAAAGCCAAGAGAGGAAGAGCCCCTCAGTAATAGACTGGGCATGACGTGATATGAGATGGAATATCCCACTGTCATATCCAAATGCCAATTTAGCTTATTATTTTAAATATTCCTCACCCACTTAGATCTTGTGCTTCTACACTAACAAAACACAAAGTCCTTCACTTCCAGAAACAAAAATGCAAACACTGGGATGTTCTCAGTGTTTCTCTCACAACAAATCCCATTATGAAAGCAAAACACAGCCAGCGCTATTCTAGCTACTAAAAAGAAACCCAGCTCTGTTCCAGCTAAAAACCAGGACAAGTACCCAAGAGTACACAAATACAGACCCAGGTCCTATTGTGGCAAATGCTATACATGTGAAACTATGGACAAAGTCTGGTTAAAAATGAATGGATAAATTCCTGTAATAATAATAAAAAAGAGAAAATAGAGGAGAGATAATATAACAAGAATACAGACCAGTGCTGAATAGCATGTGCTGTAGGACTTATGAAAGGTAGGTGCTGTAAATCACAGAATCACAGAATGGTGGGGGTTGGAAGGGACCTCAGGAGATCATCCAGTCCAACCCCCCTGCCAAAGCAGGTGCCATACACCAGGTTGCACAGGAAAGTGTCCAGGTGGGTTTGGAACATCTCCAGAGATGGAGACTCCACACCCTCTCTGGGCAGCCTGTCCCAGGGCTCCAACACCCTTACAGGAAAGAAGTTTCTCCTTAAGTTTGTCTGGAACTTACAGAAAAAAAAGGAATGGTTGGACGAGAGAACCAGCTTGCAACAACACATTTTAGGCAACAGATAGTGGTGATCTAACTTATTCAGACTTCTTATCTACTGTGCACTAAAAAGAGGTAGATACCTCAGAGAAGTGATTCACAAAAGCTGAATGTCCCTTGGAAAGAGATAGTTTCTCTCCACTAAACACACAGGGAGCCCAAGGATCATAATTCAAACCTTTCAGATAGGGAGGATTAGTCCTCCCAGCAGGTGGGAAAGGCTGAAAGGTGCTATTTGCTTTGAGAACACTACTCACAGGATAATAAACTGGTCCAGCAATTGCACTCGCTTCCTTTCCTAGCTTCTGGATGCTGTCTGCACGTGCATGCTAATGTGTTCATATGCAGGTACATGACAAAAATTAAGAGAAATGCATATATATCTAACCAGATGCTTAGGTTGAGGGGTATTAGTGAGCATAGCTAGAACAGATCAATAAAAAGAGCAGTAAATGACACATTTTTGTTTGTTTGTTTGCTGTTCACCTTTGAAAAGAACATGATAATTTAAATAGCTTTTCTTTTAAGGAAGTATTTGATGACTTCAGGCAATCAAGCCCTGGGAAGAGATAAAATGCATAGCAATGAACATTTACTGGTTGTCTTTAGACACTTTAGACAACCACTAAATGTGAGGGGTTTGGTTTTTTTTTTAAAAAAAAGAAGTTAAAAGCTAAAGACAACCACTAAATGTGATGGTTGGGTTTTTTTTTTAAAAAAAGAAGTTAAAAGCTAAAGACAACAACTAAATGTGAGGGGGTTTTTTTTAAAAAAAAGAAAGAAAAAAGAAAAACAAACCAGCAGCAATTCTAGCCTTGATCACTTGGTGTGTTCTTATGGAGCAAACTTACCTGTATCTGAAGAAATTGTTGAACTGTCTGCAGATCTTATGAGTAAGCTCTCTCTTACCACAGGCTAAAGGGCCAACTAATACCAGCATGGGGTAGGGAGCATCAAGACTAGGTAAAGTGCTACAAGAAAGGAAAAGAAGGAACCATTTCATTACCTACAAATGAAGTCTTCAGCAACTTTGTAGGTTCTGCAGAGACTTTATCATCACTTCAACCAGTCTCATCTGCCTATCACACTATTCACGCTGTTCACAGCGTAGACAAAAATCAGGAGAAGCATGTGCTCAGTTTGATACACTCTAAACATAAAAATAGCACAAAATACTGCATTAAAGACCCCTGGGTCTCTTTTGCAAGAGGAATAATGTTATGTCTACTATAATATACTACAATACTATAATATTTTTCAGATTTATAGCCTTTTCTAAAGCTCCCTCTGCAGTTATGGTGTTGCTGGGATTTGTTTAAGAGTTTTCCAAGTTTATCACAGAGATGGTAATATTTTAATGATGAGGATAATAAGCCTAGCATGAACCTGGACTCAATCCTACAAACCTTTACACACTCCTGCATGCAATCGTGCTGACCTCCATGGCCTTGTCAGATGAAGGCAGAAACTGGTAAAGAACTCTTCAATTCAACACAATGAATAACACCAAGATCCTTAAACTCCACTGAACACACAGAACACGACAATAAAAGAACCCAAAGTGCTGCAAAAATACAAAGCCCTCCATTTTCTCCATGCTGAGCAGATAGTTAGATCCTCAGATTTCCACTTTCAGCTGTAAATACTAGACTGAATAGTATTTCCACACTTTTGAGTGTCCAGCAATTTATTAAGACAGCTAAAAATGGAATGCAATTTTGAACTCTCATTTTTAGATCTCAGCTAGATCTCAAGATTATGCCAATTGATAATAGCACAGAAATTTTTGAAATAATTTCAAACCCACCTATTTTTAACCCTATTTTTTTTTAGCTCTATTTTCTACCGAATTAGATGTATATAAAGGGACTTAATGCTTCAGAAGCACCAAGATAACAACACAAATTCTCCTATAGAGTACTATTCTCACAGAAGAAATAACAGATACACCTAATAAATTAAGAGACTGGTTTGAGTCTGTACATATGTGCTGTTACTAAACTGTGAAACAAACCAGATCCTGGTTCAGTGTTCCATCCAGTAGACTATTTTAAAGCAAGACAGTAGAAGAACCCTTGGGAGATTTAAAGGTTTCTTTTACTTACTGTGTTGATTAGTGACATTTACAAAACATTAGACAACATTAGCACAATAAGCTCATTAGCACAATTCGTTAAAGATACTGGAGAAAGTAAAAAATACATTTTAAAAAGCCTTATCTGAATCTGTTGGTTGTGACATTCTGTTCCATTCACAGAATCACAGTGGTTGGAAAAGATCTTTAAGATCATTGAGTCCAACCATAAACCCAACACTGCCATTTCCACCTCTAAACCATGTCCCTCAGCACCTCGTCTACCCACCTGTTAAATCCCACCAGGGAAGGTGACTCCACCACCTCCCTGAGCAGCCTGTTCCAGTGCTTGACAACCCTTTCTGTGAAGAAGTTTTTCCTCAGATCCAATCTGAACCTCCCCTGGTGCAACTTGGGGCCATTTCCTCTCATTCTATCACTTGTTATCACACCCCCAGGCCCTTCTCTGCCCAGCAGCTCTCCAGCCACTCCTCCCCAAGCCTGAAGTGTTGGGTGGGGTTGTTGTAACCCAAGTGCAGGACCTGGCACTTGGCTTTGTTGAACTTCATGCCATTGGCCTCAGCCCATGGATCCAGCCTGTACAGATCCCTCTGCAGAGCTTTCCTATCCTCAAGCAGATCAACACTCCCACCCAGCTTGATGTCGTCTGCAAACTGAGGGTGCACTCAATACCCTCATCCAGATGATGGATAAAGATATTAAACAGAACTGGCCCCAACACTGATCCTTGGGGAACACCGCTAGCGACCAGCCGCCAACTTGATTTAACTCCATTCACCACAACTTTCTGGGCCCAGCCAGAGATATCAAGAAATCAGAGAATATATCAGAGAGATATTAGAGAAATATCTTCCTTCTCTCTTGATTACTTGAGCTGTTCAGAGTGTCTTTCCCTTTTCTGACATTTGTGGTAAGGAAAAGACCAGTTTAAGACAACATGGGGAAGGACTTTTCATAAGGGCAGTTAATGACAAAACAAGGGGAAATGGGTTTAAGCTGAAAGAGGGGAGGTTTAGATGAGATATTAGGAAGAAGTTCTTCACTGTGAGGGTGGTCAGACACTGGAACAGGTTGCCCAAGGAAGTTGTAGATGCCCCCTCCCTGGAAGTGTTGAAGGCCAGGTTGGATGAGGCATTGAGCAACCTGGTCTAGTGGAAGGTGTCCCTGCTGCTGGCAGGGGGGGTGGGACTGGATGATCTTTCAGGCCCTTTCCAACCCAAACCATTCTATGATTCTATGAACATGATCCCAGGAGGTATTAGTGACAGTTGTGGATTATTATAAATGAACCATTTCAAAGATGGGAATTCCATAAAACATGCTTTTGACTAGGGTTCAAAATTTATCGAGATGTAGCAGAAATGTTCTTAATTCTTGCTCAAAGCCATGCCCTTCATGAATAATGATGTCAAGGTAGGTCTGTGAAGACAGAGCCCTTATCTTCAACATAGTTTTAATACATTACTTCATGCACAAAACCTGTTACACGCTTGCAAACTGCAGAATTCCTCTCTAATCCTTTTTTTCACAAAGGAGTGTATATCATTACTTGATCTGATTATGCTTTGGAATTCAAATTCCCTTAAATAAATTTCTATTGCTCAAATTCCTCACATCATCAAATTCTCTGGATTTATTATTTCATGAGAAGAAAATGAAGAACATTTCCATAATCATAGAATCAGAGAATGGTTTAGGATTGGAAGGGACCTTAAAGCTCATCCAGTTCCAACCCCCCTGCCATCAGCAGGGACACCTTCCACTAGACCAGGTTGCTCAAAGCCTCATCCAACCTTGCCTTGAACACTTTCAGGGAGGAACAGCCACAGCTTCCCTGGGCAACCTGTTCCAGTGTCTGACCACCCTCACACCAAAGAATTTCTTCCTAATATCTAATCTAAACCTCCCCTCTTTCAGCTTAAACCCATTTCCCCTTGTTTTGTCATTAACTGCCCCTATGAAAAGTCCTTCCCCAGCTTTCTTGTCTTTCATTCCATCACCACTTATTGGTTCTTAGAAGATAAACTAAAAGTTTTGGTCTTCCTACAATTTCTAAGCAGTATCTTGTAAAGAGTTCTTGGCTCATTTAACGTGCATCTTTCAACTTCCTTTGTCTTTTTCTCTGCCTTGCACTGCTGTGCAAGATTAATAGATTTCAAGGCCAGAAGGGACTACTGTGATCATCTACTCAGACTCCCCTACTCAGCAACATACTGGAAACAGGATTTCCCCGAGTTAGTTCTTGTTTCACACCTGATTCCTGGGGTCCCATTAGAGCATATTTTAATTAAAAAACATTCCAGTTGTGGAGAATTCTTGGTACTCTTGGTAAATTGTTCCAATGGTTAATTACCTTCATTGTTAAAAATAATCATGCTCTATTTCTTCTCTGAATGAATTTATCTTCAATAGCCAGATACCAAATCTCATCAGGTACTTGCCCAACAGACTGAAGAGCCCTCTGTTATTAAATTTCTGCTCCCCGTGTAGCACTTATAACTGCGATCAGGCTACCTTTTTAAATGTCACACGCATTTATAGTAGGGGAAAAATACACATATTATTGTTCAGTGGTGTGTTACCATGTAATTACAGATAGAATCACAAAGCACACAGAGAGAATGGCACAGGAAACTTAATGCTAATGTTTCCTGACTGCAAAGTATACAAAAATGTAACTTTTTGCTTTGTTTTCCTTTTTTTCAAAGAGAGATATTACTATAACAGAATTAATTATAATTTCATCTAAAGATATAGATGCAAATGAACTATACCAATCTAGTTCCAATAAACATTTTATAGTGTAGGGGACTGTAACACATCATCATTAGGAAGATTTCATTAATGACTTCGTTGTGTGCTTTCCAGCTGAGCACGGGCAAACATTCAAAGCATCATTAACAATTTTGGTCAGTACCATAAAATGCTGCTCTGCATGTTGATATGTTTGTGTGTACAATACCTCTGACAGGAGACAGAGTTGTTTCTTTTCAGCAATGAGGATACACATACACAATCCACTAAACAAATATTTAAATAGAGCCTGTGTCTGCATTGGGAGAAATCCATGCCTTTAAGTAAAACTATTGTGCTTTTATTTATTTATTCTTAAGAAATCTCCAACCCTGCAACACAGTAAATAAATCTTCAGGGGTTTTATTTAATAGGCTGTTAAGAATTCTCAGAGCTATCATCACCACTGGGAAAGGTTCCTGTCTTTCATCGACAATCACAGAAAACATAAGACTTGCAAAAAAGATATTCTAAAAATATAAATTTCTGAGTTACTAAATCATGGGTTTTAAATCAGGTTACTCAGTTATGAATCAAGATGTCCAAAATGGTGTTAAAATAGGGAGGGTGTGGGGCACAAAAATTGATCTAGTGCCCACTGTAGCAAATATAATAATAAACCATATATATTTGATAGGATCTTCCACCAGAGCGTATCAAAGCATTTTCCAAGCATTCATCAAGCAAGTATTGTAACACATCTGCAGAGCAGCAAAGTATGGCCATTTCCATTTTCTAGATGAGAAGTGAGACTAAGAGAAGTCACCTGGCACGCAGTCAGCATCATCTCCTCTCAAAAAGCAGAAAGAGCTGGACTTCCCTAGGTACAAACTTGAAAATTTCACCCTATGAATAGAAAACGTGCCCCAAAACCATAAAATAAAGCCATTTTGCTCACAATGGGATGCCAAAAGTGTGAAGAGAAGGTGTAAGTAGAATATGAAGAAGATATGTTTTACAGCTCTCTTCTGCCTCTAGAGATTTTCAAATTGCCTTTCGGCACTGATAGAAATTTTGCATCTTTCATTTATGGTGCAAATGGCCATCTGTCTCAACATATTGTTTAAAAGAAATGGAGCTGTGGACAATCTGTCTCAGACTTTAGAGGTGAATGATTAACTTCATTTCATAATCCATTTCAACCAAGTAAGATCTGCCTAATTTCCAGACTGCTACCAGAATATTAGGGAACTTCTCTTCTTCGCTAGATTAATTTAAAGGTGGGAGAGGGATAGAAAAATGTCCCTCTAAATATGACAACAGATTCTGCTTTACTTGAGTGCCACCCTCAGGAGCTGATGTGAAGTGGAGGTATCCTTACCTGTCAAAGATTCTCTGGGGCTGCAGCATGCTGTACATAACGTGAGTCATATGATCTTTAGCAGCAACAACTTCTGGAGGAGGATCGTATTTATTCACAGCAGCAACCTGTTGCCACAGTTTCGAGGCAAAAGAAAGAAGAGGAGTGATGTAATTGTTTCCAGTTGAAATATGCTTCGCAGATCACTATGAATAATGACAGGTTCATATTTGTGAGGGTCAGTCTTTGTATTTGGGTAGTCTCTGAACACTCTCCACTACATAAATCTTTTCAGGGGATTTAAGCACAATTTGATAGAAGGATGGAAGGCAGCCAGATGTAGCTCACTCTCTTTAATATATTCAACCTTTTACTGGAAAGAAAACAGGATGCCACATAAGATGCAAAATAATTTTGCTTAGGTTTTAATTATCCATTAATTTGCATCCTCTCAGTGCTGGTGGAAGATGCCAAACTAAAATCCTTAGGGACTGAAGCCATTCATTTATTCCTCAGAAGAGGAACAGAATGGGCATTAACAAAGTCAGCAAACTGCAATTTTCTCCTGACAATGCATTTCTGTCTTTCCTGAGAGGAACAGCACTCAAACTCCAAGGATTCTCTCCATCCAATCTTTTCAAAGCTCTGCTGAGGGTATTGACCATTAAGGAGTTGAATATTTTTTGGTATTATCAATGCTACCCACTGAGAAAGAGGTTAAGAGCTACTGAGTCATTTAATGTAAACCAGAAAATATCAACTACCTGACACTGCTGCAAAATACTGCTGTGAGCTCCAACGAAGGTATTAGCAACTCGCATGGAGCAACAGGAGTGGATCTTTAAAGTTAAACATTAATTACTTGGAACCCAATGTCCACAGTATTTTAGGGGAGTTGGGGAAGGAAGCCCATTTCATTTTAGTTCTAGTTTGGTCCTTTAGTCTGAATTAGTGGCTAAGAGCATGTTAAGTGCATCCTGGTGCACATCATCTGGTTAAGGTTAGTCCAAAAGAGGTTTAGTTCATATGCTGCAGGACTGTTCTGCAATGAGAATCAAGCATGGCAAGTTGGGCAACTGGAAGTTTTGCTTCAAAACCACAGTTCTGATCCGAACTACAACATTTCTGTACATCCATTTTGTGTGTTAGTGAGACAGAATTGTTGCTGCCTCCAAATTCAGTTTGACAAGAGAGTTTATGAGGCTAAAGTAGATGTCCTAAAATAACCTGAGGATAGGATTTTCTGAAATAACTTTAATAATCCAAAAGTTAAGTGCTAGTCTAAACCAGTCACCCAGGCCTACTTTTTCAGTCCATAGAGAAGGAAAAATTTCTTTAATATATTCCAGTTATTATTGGAAGGAAAACAGATTGCCACATAAGACAAAAAGTCAGATCAACATCTTAGGTAGGTGAGGTGAATTAAACTCTAGTACTATTCACAGAATCCTAGAATTGCCTCAATTGGAAAAGACCTTTAAGATCATTGAGTCCAATCATGAACCCAACACTGACAAGTCCCCTATGACTAACCCATGTCCCTCAGCACTGTGTCTACACGACTCTTCAATCCCTCCAGGGATGGGGACTCCACCACTGCCCTGGGCAACCCCTTCCAATGCCTCAGAACCCTTGCAGCAAAGAAATTCTTCCTCACATCCAAATTCCTTCCCTGTGTTCATGATAGATAGAGCCATTAAATAAGTCATTAAATAAGAGTCATTAAATAAAAACTCAAATATTTACGTGGCTAAAGTTAGGAGTGACAAATTTCTTGTGAGGATCATTTTTAAAGGATAATTCCCTGAAGTCCAACCCCAATTGGCAGCTGTTAATCCCAACAGTTCTACCATGGCTTGGGCCCAAACACTACACACAGGAACCAAATTACAGTAAAAGTGGTTTCTATTACAACAGAAAGTTACTGTAAGCAGTCTGAGCAGGTTTTTTGGGGGGAGAAGATTTTACAGTGAAAGCTCTGTGGAGTAGAATGGGAAACAAGCATCATTATAACTTTCCAAGTTTACCACTTCAGAGTATTTCATTAATGTAGTTGCCTGTTTACATTTACTAGAATAAAGCTTTTAGATGAGCTTTGCATTTTTGCATACCACAACTGCTCCAGAAATTCTGTAGATATATATATCTGGATTTAAAAGTAAAAGTCTCTGAATTTGTAGCCTATTTTGGAAGCTGAAACACGGGAGATTTGTCACACTCAAATGACTACAAAGCTACATTTGCATGCACAGTTTTTTTATATTCTTTATTTAGAAAAAGTCCAGATTGATATGATGTTTACCCACCTTTTCTTTCACTGCAATCTTCTTCAGATCCAGTTCTGTTAGTTGCAGTAACATGAAAATCACCGAAAGCCAATAATCTGTTTGCTCCTGAAGGACAAAGTTTCCATTTTGACACACTTAACTTCATCAATCTAATACTTAATTACAACAGATTGAAATTAAATTGGCCTTAATGCATTGCAACATAAAAAACTTTTTACCCTGAAGGGTGTGAATACTCTGTACAATTTGACCCCTCATCACAAGCTTAGCTTCTGCAACAAAAGCTCATAGTTGTTCAAAAGTCTGCAATACATTGTTCAAAAGGTCAAGATGGGAATTTAAAAATCACCTCCACAGCCCCTAGAAGACCAAGAAAGACTGTTGAAGAGCCAAAAGCATTATCTATATTGAGATAAGGCCTCAGTACCTGAAGGGGACCCTCAGTACCTGAAGGGGCTACAAGAAAGCTGGAGAAGGACTTTTCATAAGGGCAGTTAATGACAAAACAAGGGGAAATGGGTTTAAGCTGAAAGAGGGGAGGTTTAGATGAGATATTAGGAAGAAATTCTTTGGTGTGAGGGTGCTCAGACACTGGAACAGGTTGCCCAAGGAAGTTGTGGATGCCCCCTCCCTGGAAGTGTTGAAGGCCAGGCTGGATGAGGCTTTGAGCAACCTGGTCTAGTGGAAGATGTCCCTGCTGCTGGCAGGGGGGTTGGAACTGGATGAGCTTTAAGGTCCCTTCCAACCCAAACCATTCTGTGATTCTATGATTACACAATAAGCTAATACTTAGTAGTACTGTGAGAACTTTAAAAGAGAATTTGCATTGCAAAATTGTCATCATATATATTTTTAAGTCTGAGACAATAAAAAATAATTAAAAATCAAATTAAAAACCTGACACTGACAAGTTCATGGAACTTCTTAGTTCTAAAACAAGTAAGGTCCTGTTAAAACAACTGAAATTCAGGCAGCTGTGTTAAGATGATTGTTGCATGTGTAAGTTGTGAAAACAGCAATTGGAAGGAATAGGATCACACTTAGGTTAGGGGAAGGACATCTAAACAGAAAAAGGCTTTCAGATTATGGAGGACCAGGGACAGCCTATTTCAGGTGTTTTTTCATGCTAATTTCATGGTGTGCCATGACAGACCATTCTCATGACAGCTAATAAGCCAATACAAAACCAGCAATTACAGAAAGGAAAGTTAAATACTTAACATCTTTCTCCTCTCTGATGTTAGAAATCAGTGTAAATTTCAAACATAATTTAGAAATCACAAAAGTCAGGATAGAATCATCTTTGATCACTCAGGACAAATTATAAACACAAAGTCAGAATTTCTGATATTTTGTAAATGTCATTGTTGTTGATAAAATGTATGTTTAATTCATTAATTGAGGGATATTATGGGAGCCATAAATGAGAACTGACTAGATCCTAAAGAAGAAAAGAAGATCCAGATTCCAGAGACACATGATTTTAAAAGGGTACTATTAAGTTCCTTCGAGCTTTTCCCAGGAACAGTCCAGTACAGACCTTCAAAACAAACAAGGGGATCTTTTCCCAAACAAAAATCATGGCATACTATAAGTGCATAAATGGATTCACAAATGGAATTAATAAAATCCATTGATTTATTACGTGGATATTAAACATTATGATTCATATACAGCTTTGGTTCAAAGTCTGCAGACAGAAGTGTGTAACCATGTCAAGGAAACCATCACTCATCATTTCTTGTACTTGTTCCCTGAAATGACCTGGCCACTCTCAGGGATAGAAACTGAAGCTAAATGGATTCTGGTGTGATCCAAAACAACAGCTCTAGTTTCTTGTATTTGGCTTCCCTTTTAGTTCTTTCTTACCTGTATAGGATTTTTTAGAAGATTTAAAACTCTGAGGAGAGGCAGATCTTCAAGATATTCAAGTTCACGCAGCTCAGCAATCTAATCAGTGACAGAAACAGAGCATAAATCAGCAGCAACAGAATCCATTATAACTATGGGAACAAAAAAAAAGTATTTTAATCCCTGCTCTTAAAATCTGGACATAAAAAAAAAAATCATTATACTCACAAAATGGGTATACATGTTAACTGCATTCAATGAGGCACTTCCAGTTACAAAAGGCAACTTGGATGTTAGCTGGAGAAGCAGTATAATACAGACAGCAATTTCAAACCACCTGTATTTTTCCAGTTCTTTCAAATGTCAAGCCCTAACACATTTAGCTTTTATGTGGCTGATGTGCTTAAGTGAGGCAATTCTGCAGTTATATTTGTGCTGCTTCAGTTGACTATAAAAAAAAAAATAAAATTCTGAGAATTTCTTTTCATTGGAGCTCAAGTTCATCCTACCTAACTTGCAGCACTTGACTGAAAAGCACCAGCATAGTTGTCCTTGGTTGTCTGTGTCCAAAGGGTGATGCATTCCACTTAAGGTCTCATCTCTTCACAAAGAAAATCTAGGTTGGCTGCACTCAGGCGCATCAGAGAAGCATTAGAAGTTACTAGGGATTAATCAGAGTTTGCATGCCCAAAGCAAAGTCACACTAGAGGCACTCGTGCTAGACCCTGAGTGAACAGTTATAAGGCTCCCAATTAAAACAAAATGGGTCAAATGGAATTCATGTCGCCTCATTTCAGCCATCTGTTAAGTTAGGCAAAGTCAGGTGCTTAACTTCACTTTATAATCAGTGGAAAGATGTAGTTCCAGAGGTCATCTGATCCGTGGTAGGCTGGGATGAATTGCCTTGTAAGGACACCTGGTTTTCCTCTACAACTGAGAAGACTGAACCTAGAAGACTTCAGATTCTATCCCTAACTTATCCTCAGCTTATGCAAAGTGCCTAAAAACATAAATCTCAACCACAGCCCATCCAATATTCATTTGGAGACAACAAGAAGACAATGATGGAACAGTTTTGACAAAGTTAAATGTCATATGGGTGGATTTCCTAAAGAAATCGTAAAATGCCAACTGTCAACATCTGAAAATCACTGAACATGTATACGAGAGACACGGTTGGCAGATAAACCTATCATGCCTATTTTTGAAAAATCAAGTATTTAGGATCATTCTGGATGGTAGTGAGCTGAAGTAATGCAGATCTTTCTGTGTTAATTAATTAAAATTATCTTTAAATTAGTCTTCAGAAGGAAATGTTCAAAAAAAAAAAAAAAAGGTGACTCATTAAACAGTTTCAATAACATCATTAAAAGAGGCAAATTTTGATGAGGTAAAATTAATAGCTTTTGTGTGCCATAAAGAACTGCGGAAACTATACGAGGCAATCGAAGTGGTGTTATTAATGTTAATAGCAACCATAGGAGCAGTTAGTTTCCTGTCTTGTGCAACTGATGTACCTTTAAATGTCAGCCTGAACACAGTGTGAAAAACCAGAATTCATAGTGTCTTAAATTAAATCCTGTAAATGTATCTTGCAGGTGGGGAAAAACGACAGAAAATGTTCAATTCCTGGTTTATATTGTTAATTCTTATTTTCTTAGAATTCTTTTTTTCACATGCAGATCTGTCTTTAATGTCAAAATCATTCATGAATTGACAGTCTTTTTCCATTAAGAATCCTGGGAGCTCAATATCAAAAGTATTATGTATATAAGGCTTGAATTTCAAAATTTAAATACAAATGAGTTGGATTGTATCATTGTACGTCCAGTGAAAATTGTGCTGCATAACAAAAGCCACTTTCATAATAGAGTACCAGCAGTTCTGCCTTACAGAAAGTTTCCAGCTGAGAGCTCAGAAGAAATCTGTGGTCATGAAATTGGGCTGAGAGATATTAGCAAACCCTCCTGAGGCCTGGCAGTAGAAAAGCTGTGATGTAAGTAAAGATCTTCACAAATAATCAAGCTGAAAAAGCAGCGTACTCATCCCTATCTTATCCACTCAAGGGAGCACTTCTAGTTCTTTATGTACGTGAGCACTAAATACTACAGCAGTGATACCTACGTAAAGATAAACCCATCTAGAGGTGTTAAATAAGGCCTGAGGAGCACACTATCAATCAACACGTGAAAGAGCATTGGAGTGAAATACTAAAGGAAAAAATGTCATCTTTTCTAGTAATCATTTCTTGTAGTGTTGTAAGATTTGTTGATTAAGCTTTAAAGGGATTGAATTTTAGGGGGGGAAGGGGAAGCATTCATAGAAAAAGCTGAGATCAATATTAAGTATGCAACCTGGTTATCCTCTAGGTTGATTATCTCTAGTAGATCATGTTCTTCCAAGCCTCGTAGACTCATTATTTTATTGCTAGATAAGTCCAGCTTCTGTAGAGTTTTCAAGCTGTCCAACCCAGTTATCTTCTCAATCTGGTTAGAGCTCTAAGAAGAAATGAAAACATATAAACTGTTGATAAATTTCTACAGATGGAAAACAACATTCCTGAGGAAGAAGAGAATTATAGAATCATAGAAAGGTTTGGATTGGAAGGGATCTTAAAGCTCATCCAGTTCCAACCCCCCTGCCAGCAGCAGGGACACCTTCCACTAGACCAGGTTGCTCAAAGCCTCATCCAGCCTGGCCTTCAACACTTCCAGTTCCATTATTGAGAACTCCACTTCCATTTATCCACTCCACTTCCATTATTGAGAATCCTATTACAAATAGGCCTTTATGCATTAGCTCCATCTTCATCTTGAGATGACACGTTCCAGTTTTCCATACTGCTCAAGGAAAAAAGAATCAATTGTCTTCTGATCAACTTCTCTTCAACTCACCTTGAACAGCAGCAGGAGACAAGAGTAATAAAAAGAGTTCTAGTGCTCTTTTAAATCTGAGACTGGTTAAAGGATACTCTCATCACAATCCAACTCAACATTTAGAACATAGATATGTACATAAAATTATAGAATATATATACATAAATACATAGAATTTCCCTCTGTAATCATGGCTATATTTACATTTATGATTACAGAATAAATAATCAAAATATTAATGTAGAACAATAGAGTACAGTCTTCTTTGGACTACAGGCAGTCTATAAAAATATCTCTAGGATACACAAGTTCATCATCATGCATCCTAAGTGAAGACAGACTTTATTTACTGTCTGTGACAGCATGCATAGAAATGTTAAAAAACCAAAAAACAAACAATAAACCCACCTTACTGTAATTTCCTCTAAGACTCTAACACAAGAAATGACCCCAGCTATCGAGAACCCATAACCAGTTATCATTGTTTCACATTCCTTCCAAACAAGGTACAAGAGAGAAGACCTACATTTCTCACTATACACCAGATGGCTTCATTTCTCAGGGCCTCACAAATTATATACTCGTTTCTGCTATGAACTCCAAACAGGTATCACATGCTAAGTTCTGTACTGATCTTTGTCCCAGTGGCCACACGTACCCAGATGGCCTCTCAACATGATTCTATATCACCTTGTAAGTTCTATTTTTCCATCAGCATCACCTTGTGCTGAAATCATCTTAGAAGCCTCATATTCTATTAATAAATATTTAGGAACTATTGAAATAAATAAACCATCTGACTTTTAATGTTAATCCAGTTGTCTGTCCTTGACATTTTTCCTGACTTTTAAATGTTTAATTAGGTTATTAATAGCGTGGAGGCTCTCTCTTCTCTTCCTGTTCTTGGTTAGACCTCTGTTTAATAGGATACAGCTTAGAGCTCTAGTTGCAAAATGCTATGCAAGAGGTGGAAGTAAAATTCTGTGAACAAAAGGGATTTGTGTAGGGATCCTTTTTGGCAAAGCATAAAATTTCTAAGAGTCCAGCTCATTAGAACTACACTTCTTTTGTTTGTTTGTTTTTTTTTTTTTGGGGGGGGGGGGGTTGCAAACATAAGGAGAATAAAGACTTTCTGGTACACTTAGGCAGTATTTACAGTTTTTGAAGCCTTTCTTCCAAACTTCAGACCTTACTAATCTTTCAAACTAAAAAAGTCCAGGGAAAATGGAAAAGAAAGCTAAATCCATGGGAAGAGAGGGATGACTGCTCCCACAAAAGAAAAAAAAAAAAGAAATGCATTTTATTCTAATTAGTAAAAGAAAATGCTAAAAATCTGTCTATTTACATAATTTCCACATGACTATCTACTTTGCTAATTAAAAAAGACAAGCAGTTGTATAAACAATCATATCAGCATGTAAGAACCAAAACTGAACAACATGTTCATATTAATGAGGCTCGGCTGTTAACGCAACCTCTAAAACATCTCACAGAGCAGACAGCCAATTCCTAAAAAATCATTATTACACCTTTTAACAGATGAGGAAATCAGTGCACACGATGGTTGAGCGACTTCCTGTAGTTCTCCCTGAAGAAAGCATTTAGAGAAAAGAACCTCCTGTCAGCTTAGATTGTCTCTTCAGAACTTTCAGACATGATTTTGCCAATCTGAGTTAATCTTATCCACTAAAAATGAGACCAAATTCAGTTTTATTGTCACTAAGGGCATAACTGGAAGCTACTGAAGGTGTAATATATCTGAAATATATTAAAAAATATGTTACTGAACATTATTTGAATATATTATTTAAAACATACGACTGTCCACTTCTAAATGTGAACACCTTCCCTGAATATCGAAGCAGTAATAAGCACGAGGGCCAATGAGGCCTTGATGAGTACAGACCTTAGTTACTCTTTTCTATATCAATTACTACAGAACAGAAGAAAAATCTTTAAAATTTTAAAAGGATTGGAAAAGAATATTTCTATTCTTGATAAGGGATTCATTCACTTTACCTAAAATATTTATGTAGGTGCTTAAAACTAATGAAGCAAATATGAGGATATTTCTACGTATAGTTTTTTTTTTGGTACTCATTTTTAAAATCTCATTAAATTCTTTAAAAATTTTTATTACAAAGTAAAACCTATTAAGAAGCAGTCTGTTGCGTTTTATAGCAACTGAATTGCATTAAAAATAGTTTTCCTTATGTTTTCGTGCAACTTCTATATTGATGACTTCCTATTAAGTATCTCAAAATGACTTAGAAGAGATCATTGGCATTATTAAGGACAATTTATAAATGTGGAACTGAGGAACACTGAGATAAATGCCTGTCTAAGAGCAAGATGCATCAAACAAGTGTAGGCATTCATAGAAAGGAAACTATGTCTGGGCTAGTTACCCTTGGCTGTCTTATATCATAGAATCATAGAATGGTTTGGATTGGAAGGGACCTGAAAGCTCATCCAGTTCCAACCCCCCTGCCATCAGCAGGGACACCTTCCACTA